CCCCCCCCCCCCCCCCCGCTCCCCAAACGCGATGACCACTCCTCTGCTTGCGGTGGATCCTTGCAACCTCGAGCCCGTGAACCTCGAACAGCCCGAATCCCTAAGCCCTAACCCCCCAAAAAAAAGTAGGAGGCAAAGAAAAAATCAATAAACGACCTAAGCCCTCTATTCCTTGGCTCTTCGGTGAGGTCGTCATGGTGATGTTTGTAATTCCTGGGGAGAAGGTCGAGGCCAGCTAAAAGTTTGGCTTTGTTTATAGGGACCCTACAAAAAAGTANNAAGTAGGTTCTGGTTGGTTAAGGTAGCATATAAGGCTTGGATCCAAGGTTTAGAGTTTACAGGGGGTTTCGGATCCGGGATACAGGGTGGTACGATCATGCACATTGCAAGGTTCACATAAGCTTTGGGGTTTGGGATATGGGAGTTAGACTTAGAGTTTTGCCACTTGTGGTTGCGAGTCCATGGCTTGGAATTCGATGTAGGTCTTCCCCCAAACCCTACTCCCGAAACTTCAAGCACGCATCGCAAGACACCGAAAAGTTCGGGTGTCGGTTTTGGGATGGCTTTCGCCGGGATATCATAGGGTCACAGGATCGATTTAGGATTTTAGGTTTGTGGTTTCGGGTTTAAGAATTAGGTTTCAGGGACTTGACTTACAAGCAGGACGCGTAGTTGGATTATAGTATATTGGCTTATAGTATATTGAACTGCTGGACCTTCATTCTTCTTCCTTGGAGATCAGGCCGCCGTCCTGATCCTCAAACCCGGGTTTGGCGCTCTCGCTCTTTCAGCTACAGTAGAAGCAGACCCTGCAACCGAAGCCTTCAAACTACTACACCTAGGAGGTAAAGAGTTGGAGCACCAAGTAGCTTGAACCCCAGAAGAAGCGTAGCATAATGAGTACGGGAGAACAAGTGATGTACCCCCTTTTTGCATGTTTCAATGCCCCAAACCCTACTCGACGCTTTAGTTTATTAAGTGGTAAGGAATATTGGCACCTCTAGGATCCCTCCGTCGAAGGCAAGTCAGTATGGATTCCGACAATACTCACACTGCCGGCAACTCATATGCTAAGCTAAGAATTTGCAGAGTTGATACGTATGGGCCTAAGGAAGCCAGCAGTTGTTGTTTCCTTCCCGGTCTGCAAGGTTTTGAGTAGTTTGAGGGCCGTGTACTTTGCAAGGTTGGCGGTTCTGGCATTTCGGGTTATTTGAAACGCATTTCGAGGTGTCAGCGAAATTAACTCCAAGCACGCGGCCGGAACAAGTATGTGCGCGTGGTTAACCTAGTTTTGTTTTATACCCTGTCAACCTTAACCATACAGCCTCAACCGCCTCCCCATATATCCAATCCTCGCAATTATAGCATACCCGTGTGAGCAGCTTGTGAAGCGGGGGCAACTTTGCCCCATCTGCATTGCCTTCCTGAAGCTGAATAGCCAACTGGAGCCCCAGATTTCCTTTTGTTGTACGTAATCCCAGCGTCTAGAGCACCTTAAGGCCAAGGTTTTAGGGTGTAGGGCAGGGTCTAGGAATGAAAAATGTGAGATTCCCGGGGATTTCAATGAGTTCCTGCTCAGCCCTGAACACCGGGAAGATCAAATGCCTGAAAGACTGCCCGGGGTCTCATGAAGGGGGTTTGGTTTAGCGGCACTTTGCGCTGGAAGCCCCCCCAAAAGGTCCCAGTTACAGTACGGCATGCACTTTCCGGGCCCACATATCGATCTTCTAAGAACCTACTACACTGATAGTGGACACTTTGAGAATCCTTGATGGTTTAAGGTTTTCAAGACAGAGACATCCGCCAGGTCCGCATCGAGCGGAACTACAGCCGCTACTCTGAGGCCGCCTCGCGCAGCGCGGTTTCGGCCTGTGGGGCTTTGGGCTTCAGTGTTCAAGGTACTATAGGGAATTGGGGCTTAGGGGGTTTAGGGTTTAGGGTCTATGAGGGATCTGGGGCTTTATGGGTTTAGGGTTTATAGCGTCTTTACCGGATGTGGGAGTTTAACCTGTATATAGGGTCTATATTATACAGGATCTACGGCTTCAAGGAGTTTAGGGTTGAGGGTTGGGGGCTTCTGGGCTTGGGGTCTGTGCTACCGGGGGGTTGAGGGGTTTGAGCTTCTATCAGGCCGGTGTTCAATATCTTTTTTGAAGATGCTGGGTAATTAACCCCTACAACCCTTAAAAGCCAAACCAAATTAAGAGTTGATACAACTCGTAGACTGTATGGCAGGTTGCAGTTGTTCAATCACTTCAGAGGTTTGTCTCTGCGTTTGGTATGGGTTTTCGGGCTACCGGGTATAGGATTTAGGGTGTGCGAGTTTAGCGTTTAGGGTGGAGGGCTCATGCCTGTTTGGTTTAGTTTGGTGGTAAAGAGTTCTACGACCATTCCCTTGATGGCCTTGAGCCAGGCGCCTTCCGGAGCCTGGCACCTGTCAGCCCTAAGCCCACAACCCTCGTCTTCCGGACTTGTCTAAGGGCTTTAGGAGGGACCCTTGATAGGGACCCTTGTAGGTTATTGGGGTTAATATGGAGACTACCTGGCTATATAAAAGGTATATAAGGACTATACAATGGTTATCTAAGGTAATGGGATTAAGGGTCCCTATCAGGGGTCCCTCCTAAAGTCCTTAGAATTTGGTTTTGCAGTGCAAGGCTGCCTCTCTCGGAGTGGAAATGTCCGCTGCACTGTGTTTTGTTCGTTCAGGTTGCGCAGGACTCGGAGTAACCGTGCATTATTACTTTTCGTTGATAAGCCTTCGCAGGCTTGTACCTTGAGTCACTAGCATTCAACCGACTCATGAAGAAAACTTGCCGATAGACCTCTCATGTTAGCCCTTTGTCTTCTCGCTAATATGGAACCCCATGCCCGCTACCAGGTGCCACTCCTTATTTATTTATTTATTTATTTGTTTATTCATGTATATACACATGCACATTTGTGCATGTGTATGTAGGCATGTATGTATGTATGTATGTATGTATGTATGTATGTATGTATGTATCTACACATGCATGGATGGATGTATGAATGTATGTATGCATGCATGTGTATATGTATCAGTCTATCTATCCATCTATCTATCCCATTCTCTCTCTCTCTCTCTCAGTGTCTCTTGCTGTATAATATATATATATATATATATATGTATGTATGTATGTATGTATGTATGTATGTATGTATGTATGTATGTATGTGTGTATTATGTTCCGTTGTATAAAGATCCGAGTAAGGCACCTGATAAAGAACCCTCGACCAGGCGAAGCTCCTCAGAGTGCTGGAATCGTCCCCTGACAGGGTGGAGCCAAAGTGCCCACTGAAACTTGGGAGGAATGGTAGTTGATCGATCTCTCAGTAGGGCTGCATCGTTTCATCCGGATGTCCTTATTGACTTTCCAAGCAGGCTTGTTGGGGTTTCCGAAGTTCTTGCATTTTGGGCATTGTGTTGCTGCAACAATGCGGTCCCATGCTCAAGGTGCAGCCACATCCGTGACGGCTGAATTCACACAACTCCCAAATTCCAGCGACTGGCACCCGAGTCGTATATTTCAAGAGAGCTACATAGTTTAGGCCTTAGGTATAAACGACATACGGCTTGCATGGTTTAGGGCGTTTGCCCCAGAACTTCTTTTCAGACGCTTTGTCCTTACAGCTTACCGTCCCTTCGTAAGCACGCCGGTCTGTTGCCAAGGTATACGATTTGTGGCGGCTGTCAGCCGCTTCGCTGCACAATACGTGTAACTTACTTCGGCAGATGCTCTAAGCTTTTAGCTTCAGTGCTACAAACGGGTAAACATGCGCAAAAGCTCGAGAAACAAGTCGGGTTCTGTCACCATGAGCCGAGTTACCTCTAGGCCTATATAAAGGGTTGCTACACTACGGTTATATAAGCTCACTAGCCTACAAAATAGGTCAGACGGTGTTCAGGGTACGCCAGCAAGTGAAGTACTTCAATTGTCCAGAGTGAGTAAGACGTGGTGATTCTCCGAGTTTTGCTGTTTTGGTTGGTGAGACCTCGACGGTCTCGGGCTCTTAGCCTCACATCGCCGATGAACTCTAAACCCGAACCCGAAACCCCTTACCTCTGAACCCTTAAACCGGAAGCCCACTGGAGGGCCCAAGCGGCCGGCGCCCGGATGATTGGAGTTAGAAAGCTAGGTGCCGAGGGCCCTGACAGTTTGAGTCCCTTGCTTCGCAATAGACCTCCCGCACGGCACCCTGTGTGGGGTTTGCGTGAACCCCAAATAGCCTACTTTTTGAAGGACTCCTCAAGGATATCCTTGGGAGCCCGAACAAGGTAGGATCTATAGGGCTCAGGCCCAAGGCATCGTTTTCGATTTCTGAACCTTGGTTCTTCTCATGTCTGTGCAGCTACCGAGCGGGTACGCGCAAATCTGAGAATCTATGAATTCCAAAAACCCTAAAGCCGAAACCCCTCATCTTAAGCACTTTAACCCTATCATCTGTATTCCCAAACCCTTTAGACCCCGAAATCCTAAACCCATGGAATCCTTACCCCCTACACCCTGAACCTCTTTTCCAACCCCAGGTACCAGCATCTCACATATTCCTCCGAGCTGGCTTGGAAAAGGCTGCATGTGAAGTCGACGCTCGAGGCCAGGGGCCTTTCGGTGGGTGGTTTAGGGTTTAGGGTTTAGGGTTTAGGGTTTAGGGTTTAGGGTTTCGTACGGGTTTTATTTCGTTCATAGCCTATCGACAAGGTCTTAGGATTAGGGTTGGGGTTTAGGGACAGTCCCAGGGTCGTGTTCGGGCAGCCAGCAAGCCCAGTTTCAATAGGGACATTGTATTGACATGGCATTGTTTTTCTGGCACAGGTTTGGTAGGCTTCCCAGATTTTTGGTGACCATACATGACAGATACTTGCAGGCATGAAGATCTGTAGCAATATGTTTGGATTTTTTATCATTACACCCTTCTGTTTCCATATATGTGTATGTCCTTTGTATATCTCTATATGTGTGCGTGTGTGTGTTTCAAGAGAGCGTTGCGGGTTTGTTGGGGGGTCTATCTTGGAGAAGCATGGGGGTCTACATTCTGAAGTCTTGTTGTGTGTGTTAGTGCCTCCTGTTTGTATGCTGAGATCAGGGCTAGGCCCTTAGGTCCTGGAGAATAGGCTGCGGGTCAGTGTGTTTAGGATGGTGGCCAGCAGGCGCTTCAACTCCAGCTTAGAAGTTTGCCTGCCTCAGGATTTTTCCGGCCTCGACCTACCAGCAGCGCTTGTGGCCGACTCTCAACAGCACTCTATGAAGATTCCTCAGAGTAAGGGCCCAAATCCTAAATTAACTCATACATGCCCGCCTGTGTGCGAGCGTGTGAGCCGAAACTAAGGCATACTCATGGCCCAGTTACCTATGCATTGGTTCCCTGGGTGGGCTGAACGGGCTTTGTCACGGCCCGGGCGCACACACACACACACACACATCTATACATGAGAACATACCTGTGCATATACATATATACATATGTATGTCCGCATGTATGTCTGCATGCATGCATGCAGGCATGAATGCATGTATGTATGCATGTATGTACGTATGTATGTATGTATGTATGTATGTATCAATGTAGGTATGTATGTATGTATGTATGTATGTATGTATGTATGTAGGTATGTATGTATGTGGGTTTATGAACCAAGCCATACATACTACAGTAAGGGTTGTGTCAGCGAAGCGGGTGGGAAAACATGGTAAATAGAAAGGGTTGTAAAGGGTTTAAGGACACCAGAGAGGTAACTAGGATCCGAAGATTCATATGGTGCTGTGACAAGCCGGGAAAGTGGTGTTGGTGGATTTCGCGCCTCAGGTTCAGTCATGCTAAGAAGAACAGCTCGAACTTATGTTCGCAATGGTCCGCCTGTCAGCGACACATCAGCCTCAGGAGTACTTGCCTGCGGGTTAGGCAAGAAATATTCAGCTCGTCTGGCTTTATTCTGACCGTACAGAGAGCCCCAGCTCAGTATAGCTAAGCTACCAAATCAGCTTTGCATGGACCCGATCTGAGCGCTGAACCCCGGAACCTTTAATCCAGTTCCAAAAAACTGAAGGGGAGCGAGGTCAGCGCAACCCAGTGTAACCTACACGAAAATCTGAACAATCGTAGTCAAAAATCCACCCTGCGCACTCAAGCATGAACACAACAATGCCAGGAAACGGCCCCATCGCCCAAAGAGTACCACTACAGGCATGCCTGACGGGGCGAGTGGGCCGTAGATCTCCGATTCTGATCATTCAGGAACCGCACATCCTAAGCTTTCTGGGTTTGCTTGTGCGTGCAGAAGGTTCGGGCTTAGGTTTGCTATGTACGGGACGGTTTGTCTGGATTGTGTTGAGAGGAAGTTGTTGAGATTGCATTGCACCTAATGTAGCGAAGACATAAGCCCTGCATTCTAATGCAGACCAGATAAACGGGAGCCCCGCCCCCAGACCGGGGCAAGAACCAAAGTAGCGTTTTTGACCACAGGAACTTGGAGCCACAAGTATACGTAAAGTAGAAACTGTACAACCTCTTGACAGACCCATAGTGAAACTCTGTAAAACGATGGAAACAATTTACAGTAACTCCATAAGACCACCAAAAAAACTATGGATACTTAATATCAGAGCCCGTTTTAGAGCGTATAAAACACTTAGAGTTCCAATTCTGCCTGGCAGGCGCAAGCTCACCCCTCGGCTGCAAGGTATGGCGCCGAAAGGGGGCGATCCACGTTTCCAGGCCCAAGCCATAAAGTGCAGAAGCCTCCATGTGTGAGCCCTTCTCGAACCTTTTAGGCCCGGGTTTGGGGCTTAGGGTTCTGGGACTGCGAGATTTGTGAGGTCGCTTTCTCAGCTTGGTGTGCGCGCAGGGTACAATTGTGTAGACCACTTCGTTGGAGTGTTCATGACCCCGAGGCATTGAAAGTCTCTCCTTGGGAGCGTGGGACTTTTGCTTCTTCTGCACACGCATCTCAGGGTATATGCATCAAGTTTGTCAAGTCCCGGCGTCTGGTACCAAGCAGTCGTTGCAGCGGGAATTTGCTCGTTCTGTTTTTCCGCATCACTGAATGTCTTTTGTGATTGAACTACGGGCACAGGGCACTGTGATTCCCGGTCGCGGCAGGATGTGGATGCAGATGGCCCAATTGGCATCTGTGCGCAGGCCGAGATATATCGTACGCAGACACACAGAAGGAGAATAACGACTTCCTGGTTACGATACCACGACGGCATACCGACTAAGAATCACTGGCTTTACGAGATTGTGGAAAGACGGATCATAACTTGCATTCGTGGCGTAATTAAAGAAGTCACAGAAGGCATCCCTTTTGGAAGGGCCCTGCAGCAAAACAAGCCTCCAAATCCTGCAGTCCGGGGTTTCTTCCAGAGCCCAGAGAGGGTGCAGGCGATTTTGAAAAATCACGGACTCCTGTCCCCCAGATTCAGCACGACATGTAGGGTTCAAGGTTGCCTGGTTCGGGGGAAAATGAAAAAACAAGTTCAATGAAGTGGAGCTTGGATTTGAGAATATTGCACTGCGATGTCTTGGGGTTCCAGCATATGCCTCAAACCCTATTCTAGTTATTCCGACGGAATTTTGTGGGCCCTAAAACCGGTTACCTGCCTAGCTCAACTTGCGTGGGCGTGACTTGAAGTAGGAGACTAGTGGATGCTAAGAGTCCAATGGACGGGGTTCTTGCTCAGGTTCCTACATTCGCAAGCTGACAGAAGCCTCAAAACATGAACCCATCACGAGCCCTAAACCCTTCAACCCGACACACTGAATCCTACGCCGGGGCACCGAACTTCAAACCCGATTCCCTATAAACTCCTAACTATACTCCTAACATCCGTCCCTGCAAGTAGGAGGCAACAAAAAGCTCGTACCATCCGCACTCCGCAGACCCAAAACCCTGCGAAAGTCCGACTGCACCAAAAAGACACCAATCCCTAAACCTCCAGTCCGTGCTAAGTAGGAGGCAAAAAACCTCCAGGAGTGGGGCGACCACCGCGATGCGCGCGGACGCCGTTTTCGTCCGGTTGTGGAAATCGAGGCTCCTATATAGGTTCCTAGCAGCTTAGAGGGCTGAAAGTCTGACGGCTTAGGGGTTTGAGGGGCTTAATTGGAGTTCAGGGTCTAGGGTTTAGGACTCAGCATTTCGGGGTTTAGGGTTTAGGATGGGTTTTGAGAGCTCGGCCGTGGGCTTTTGCAGGTAGGTTTGCTTTCTTGAGCCGTCTGCTTCCTGGCAGTCAGCAAGTCCAGATTCCAAAGTGTAAAGGCTTTGGGCTTTGGTTTTGGGTTGTGTCTACTTTTGAAGTTTAGGGGTGGTGCGGAAGTTAATTCTGCGGCTTTATAAGTATTGCATCTAGGAAAGCCCGGTTTCTGTGTTGTATGTCATAGGAATATTTCAAGTTCCCAAGCCGGAAATCAATGCAAGATCCTTCTTGTATGCCAAGCCGTGCATTTGCTCCTTCGACGGCCACCATCTTCCACAGTCCTTCTGCTCTATAAGTACAAGTATTTGGCGCCCTGGTATTGACTATGCTGGGGCTTCTTGAGATGGGCTTCTTGAGATTACGTAGCGTCTCACGTTCCACAACTACGGTCATCACTGCGATGACTTTCAATACTAGTAGTCACTATTATCATGCTTCTATTTTCCGTAGTTGGCTATTTGTCAAGGAGTCCTGCTGGCATTATCAATGTCGTTGCCTCCCTTGCTCTTATGATCATCACTACTTGTCACCTCCCGGATTGTCGTTATGAGAGTCAACCTACAGTGTTGTTATCAGTTTCTAGAAGCCCAGCTCCCTGCAGGGTAGGGTACTGTAGCACAGGAGTCCGCTGCATAGGTAGCTGTGATTCTGGTGATTACCACGATTCTGCAAGCCTTAGGCCATGTCTAGCGCTGCGATCATTACTGTTAACAACACGGATCTTGAGCCAGGCATGCCCACTGGCAACAGAGGCGGCTTGGCTTGTGGCAAGTTAGGTGCCGATCCGCGTCCGCGCTTCTTCGGTTTTTCGTGTAGCCTTATTCGGCTGCCAAAAGTGTAGTGATCCGTCCCCAGAAAATGAGCCGTTGGGAAAAGCTGTCGATGTTCTGTTACAGCTCTGCTCTCGCTCCTACATCCTTTCAAGACGATGAGCCATTCTAAGGCCATCAACACGGCGCTGCCGGCTGCCAAGGCCCTCATGGTTAATGCTCGCCCAAACCCTACAGGCTTTCCCTTCTTCTTAATCTTGTTCAGTGCATAGGGTTATTTCGGGTTCGGGGTTTCTGGGATGTCACCTAGAAGCCTTGCGACTAAGCGGCACGACTCCATGGAATTGTCAGAGTAAGACTTCGCATGTCTACGTTTATCTTTGTCGTGAAGCATGGACGATGCCAAAAAGATAGTAGAGATAGATACTTGTAATCGGCAGCATGCCGCCCGAACTGGTCTAAGCTTCATGGGCCCTTGAAAATATCCGCCATCCATGGCAAGTGAGTCTATTCGAGCACGGAGCCATGGCCCAAATGTTGCTGCGCTTTGAGGGTCTCGGGTGTAGGATTCAGGGTTTGCACCCTTGGGGCCGTCGATCTGGCTTTGTTTCGGGGCGGTATCCCCAATACCCTGGAAGACTTTGGGGCTGAGCAGGTTAACCTTTTTGGTGCTCATATAATCTACTAGAATTGAAAAGGTTAACCCTTTTTGGGCTAGGGTACTCAGCCCCGTCGGCCAAGAGAGCCCAAACAATTTTTGCGCAGGAGCGTTCCCCAATTTCAACAGAACCAGCTTACAACCTTTTGTCGCCACAGTCTCTGTTTGCAAAGCCACAGCTTCAAGCACGGCAACTAGTCTCAGCGCTTCAAATCCTCGAAGGCCTAAGATCTACAGGGTTTAGGGTGTAGGAGTTTGGGTTAAACAGTTTAGGGATTTAGGGGTTTGGGGTTTAGGGTTATGACAACATAAGCCCTCAGCCCCAGAATCCTGCCAGTCTCGGTTCCTAAGCCCCGAAGTACCTGTCAAGAGCACGTGACTGGCCAAGGAGGTTCCTTATATAAGACTACCCATAGGGCCCATAGTAGTTCCTTTTTGGGATTACCTTATAGGATTCTCAGTGTGAACCCCAAAAAGGAACTACTTTAGGGCCTATAGGTACTTTTGAATTTTGTGAACCATCGAAAGTCTGAAAGCCGAGTCCCTCACACCGAGCTTTAAAGCACCTAGTTAGTGTTAGACTCGATGTTTTGTAGAGAGTACCGTGTCTGTTGGGATCATTCCCTCATTCTTCGGGACATGGTTTGCTTTAGATCGTGAAAACCTGGACCCAACCCCAGCAGCAGGTTGCTCTTCGGCAGCGTGCAGCAAAGTTCTTGGCTACTCAGCTCATACATGGGAGCTTCCCGTAGACGAAGCGTGAAGTTTTGGAGTCAAGCGGAGGATAGCTACCTAATTAGACATGTTTTCGAAAGCCTCGTACTTCGAGTTGCCCAAGCCCTGTGTTGCAAGTGCCTGTGCAAAGGATATAGGAAGGCAAATTAAAGCTTTACTCAATCGCGGTCGGAACAGTAACATGCAGCACCTAGCTCGACGGTTAAAGACTGTTGGTAGATTGCGTCAAGCCCAAACAAAGACGTGGACAGTGCAGCTTACCCACGACCACACCTAGAAAGCCCCAGCTCAAGAGTCCAAGTCAAACTCGAGGCCTCTTGCATCACTTACTTGACCGAAGACCCAACGCCTGGAACCCCATTCCCCACAGCCCTGTAGCTGAAAACTCTAAAGGAAGCTTGGCCTTAAAGGCTTCTGGCTCACAGCCTACGAGCCCTATAGCCCCGAACCACGAAGCCCTGAAACACTTGGACTCTACAAGCCTCGATCCTAAACCCAAATCCCCTGAAACGCGAAGCCGTAAACTTTAAACCCTAAACCCTAAATCCCTAAACCCTAACCCCAACCCCAAATCCTGCAACCTAAACCCTAAACCCTGCATGCAGGAGCCTTTGTCCAAAGAAGATCGGAGAGCCGCATCGAAGCGGAAGCGCGGAGAACTGGCCGCTGGGACCCCCTGAGCAGACCCCAGCGCTCCAAAGGACCCAGAGGGTTTAGGGTTTAGGATTTAGGGCTTAGGGTTTAGGATTTAGGGTTTAGGATTTAGGGTTTAGGATTGAGGGTTTAGGGTTTGGGATTTGGGGCTGAGGGTTTAGGATTTGGGGTTTAGGGTTTAGGGGCAGTTGAAAGAGTTCGTTTGAATTGGGGATCTGTAACGACAGGTGGGCACGACCAAGTGCGTGCAAAATGAGAGGTTCAGGGCCCTATATCAAGAATCATGCCCGTCTCATCTAACCAGGAATCTTGACAATGGGTCAGAGGAGGCCCATAGGAGCTCTGGGCAGTTGGGCTTGGGAGATGAACATTAGGGATCTTTGAACTGAAATTCCTGAAAGCAGCCTTTTGCGGGATTCAGTAGGCAGGCCCTAGTGTGCAGGGTTTAGAGGGTTTTGTGTTTAAGGTTCGGGATTTAAGGTTTCTAGAGCTTGCAGTTTAAAATAAAGGTTCTTCTCACAACCACCACCACCACGATTACTTTTTGTTTGAATGTTGTCATCTTTCCAATCATTTCTGTCCCGATCGCTGTCCTGGTCCTTTCCTCCTGCCGTAAGGTTTTCAGCTGCTTGGGCTCAGGGCTGGGATCAGGGCCTTTCTGTGCGTGTCAATCCCTGTGCTTTGGTGGTGGCTGAGCTTGTCACCACAATCGATGAGTCTGAAGTGCTCAGAGCTAGTACATTCTTGCAGTCACAAGTCTCTCCTCGCCCCAGAAGCGAAGTCTTGCGGGGTTGATGATGCTCTCGGTCTGCAGATCTCCCAGCCTAGCAGCGAAGAATGGTTATCCAGGAAGCTGGGGTGGTAGAGGTCGCATGAACTTAGCTTCTGCTCCTGTGAGCTCGGACGCGGATGTATAGCTAATCAGACTCCTCTGTTACATCATGCTTGACTGCATGTCTACCGCGGCTGTGAACCCGGGGGAAGAACAGCGGAGCTTCCAAGCTGGTCTGAAAGCACAAAAGCTGCCACCTGTACATGCTGGATTCGATGCTATCAGACTGAGAATCCTTTCTTTGAAGCCCTTGCCATAGCATCTTGCCCCAGGATGGGTCTAGGCTATTGGGTTTACGTAGGGTTTGGGGGTTTTGCTGGGTTTTCTTTCGCACACCAGTTGTCTGAGGTTGCATTACTGCGGCATACGTCGTTGGATGGTGTGGTGTGCGACATGTGGGACCAGGCCTTCGGAGGGTTTAGGGTTTAGGGTTCAAAACAATTCTTCCAGGAAGCTTAGACCCTAAAGACACAAAGCAGTGACAAGTGACAGGTGCTCCCCCACGACCGAAAGCATAAACCCTGAATAAACCTTTGAAGAAGCCTCAGAGATTTCTTCAAGGAACCCTAAAAGCATGCTGTCAAAGAACCTGCAAGCCTATATTTTCCCACGCACCGCGAAACATAATCCATCACGCAACTTTGCGGCAGGTGGTGACGGAAGAGATCCCAGGAGTGGGAAAGCCTCTTGCATTCATGGAAATCTTTATCTCCAAGGCTCCAGGCGCTGATTCTCTTGTTGGGTCTAGGGTTTGAGCCCAAGAGCTCCTATTTCAGGGCGTTGAGATGTTTTGGAGCCTGGTGTAGGACGTTCCTCGTCAATAATTGCTGTGTTTGCTGCTGCTGCTGCTGCTGCTGCTGCTGCTGCTGCTGCTGCTGCTGCTGCTGCGGCTGCTGCTGCTGCAGCTGCTGGTACTGGTGGTGGTGGTGGTGGTGGTGGTGGTGGTGGTGGTGGTGGTGGCGGCGAGTGCGGTGGTGGTGCTGGTGTCGTCGTCGTCGTCGTCGTCGTCGTCGTCGTCGGTGTTTGCTGTTGCTGCTGCTTCTGCTGTTGATGTCGCTATATTTGTCACAGTTGTCCTTCTTGTTGCCATTCTTTTTCTATCTTCTTGAACATCATTACTCGTATTCGTATTGCTCCTCGTGTTTGTGCGTTGCTGTTGCTCTGGTCTCTTTGTTGTCGTTGCCGTTGTCATTCCTCACATGTTAATGTTTGCTGTCGGTTCCTATTGGTATAATTGTTGACCCCAGCCAATGTTTGGCATCCTCCCTGCAAACATCAAAGTGTCCCTGCCTCCTCCTGTTTAGCGATCACTGGTAGAATCTTGAAGCATGCAGCAGTTTGCCCCACACCCTTTTCCCAGCGGTTGCATGCCAATACCTAGATGGTCATATCCCACCCAGCGTTTGGGGGCAGAATTTTCTACATCGAAAAAACTGACTCTGATGCTAGGTACCCCTAGTGTGTACCTAGAGCCATTCACTTCAAACAGTCCTAGCCTGCGATCCGCAAACCTTACACCGCAGCCCTCTACAGCCTGAGCCGTATACGCCGTTATCCCAATGCAAAAGGTTTTCAGATAGAAAATTTCAATCCTGAAACCCTAAATTTAAATTCTAGACCCTAAACCCTAAACCCTACAATGCGGGCTTAGTCCTTGCTAAGTAGGAGGTAACCCTAAACCCTAAACCCTAAACCCTAAACCCTAAACCCGAAACCCTAAACCCTAAACCCTAAACCCTAAACCCTAAACCCTAAACCCTAACCCTAAACCCTATAAACCCTAAAACAGGAAGAACACCATGAGCCGAAGCCGTGGCGGCCCTGAGGTTTCGGGTTTAAGGCTCCGGTTTAGGGTTTAGGGTTTAGGATTTAGGGTTTAGGATTTAGGGTTTAGGGTTTAGGGTTTAGGGTTCAGGATTTAGGGTCTAGGGTTCTGGTGTCTTGAGAAGACCCTAAGATTCCAGCTTGCCGGCATACACCCCAAGCCCGTGCTCAAAAAGGGTTTAGGGTTCAGGGTTTAGGATTTATTGCATCTGGGTTTAGGGTTTAGGGTTTAGGGCTTCCCAGCTGATTGGCAGAGTCTGGGTTAACAAAAAAAAAGGTTTAGGATTTAGGATGGGCCCTGAGGTTCAAGTTTGCTGCTGGCCGCTTTTTCCAGGTGCCTGGGGTGGGTGGGCCGAGGAGTCCCGGGGTAAAGCGGCTCCATGACCGATTTCGTGTAGTTATATAAGAGTGCTAGAAGGGCTGTAAGGGCTTCTGCGATTACAAGCGCTCTATGAAGGCTTTTATCGGAGTTCTATACAGGTTCCAGAAAGGGCTATTGATTGCAAAGTCTTCATGCGAGTTTAGGGTGGCCTTCTACCTAGTGCATGAGCTTGGTTACGCAGCGCCTGACAACCTAGCCGCAGAGGGCCTGGTTCCTGGCAGTCCCTGCTCAAACGGGTTCGAAGAAGGGTTTTCGAAGGGTTCCAGTAGCGGTTCCTTTGAGGGTTCTTCAAGGGTTCCATAAACATGGCATAGTATGGGAATTGGCCCGAGACCCTAAACCTGATTTTGTTAAAACCCTGATAGGAACTTTTATGGCGACCCATATAAGGGTTTTGGGATTGGGTACTTTCGGGATTAGGACGGGGAGGGGTCAACAGGCGAAAAATGATTAGCGTTCGGAATTCGGGAGTGAGCACCCCAAGGATTAAACGATCAGCATAGGCTTACATTAAAGTCTTATCCCAGTGCACGCATTCGAGGGTATTTTCCGAGCAAGGGCTGCAGGACCCTGATCCCGGTCCCGTATGCTGGGAAGGTCAACGCATCGATCCTCCCAAGTTTCGTGCGCACTGTGGTGGATTCTGCCGCCGCGCCATGGCAGGGCGAGCAAGGCACCTGGACAATCGTGCTGCACGGTTTACAGCTAGACGCGTTCATGAAGGCTCACTGTTGCACTTTTTGCTGGGGTTGCTGGGTATACTTGGATCGTTAGTGTGTTAAGTTCCTGGTATTCCTGGATCCGGAACCCCGTGCCTTGCCCAATCCCATGGTCTAAGCCTTCAACCCCGAAGCCTACAGGACGCCCGGAGTTCCTTATCGATGTGTACTGCGGCGTGGGGCTGTTTGCCCTGGCAGGCAGGGATAAGTGGAGCTCTAACTTTAGTGCAGCCACACAGGAAGGAGTCGGAAGGAGGGTTTGGCTGTCTATGACGAGTACTGTACTTGCGACACAAAGATGATGGTAGCAGTAGGCAGTCAGTGTAGCGCCAGCAGGAGTAGCAATAAGTTGTCTTGTTGTGGCACCAGTAGCACACACGCTTGTAGTCATTGTTCATTCTCTCAGTCGTCATCGAGGTTGTAGTTGTGGCACTTGTAGGTTTTAGCAGTACCAGTAACAATCGTTAGAGCGTTTGAGACAGCGAGGCTTGGGATTCATAATATGTGCCTCGCGACATGAGAGGTGATTAAAAGCTCCCTTGCATAAGTCCCTGCAATGTAATTGAATTGGCTGCAGATGCTTTCATTCATAGCGTCTTATGGGGAGGCATGCCCCAGCCCACGGCGGAAAGCCCGGCTGTCGAAAGAACGAACACGGAAAACCCCGTCCCCCTTTGGTTGCTGCACTCAGTGGAGCTACTGGGGTGCTTCGGCAAAAGACCTTGATTGGCAAGGTTCAAGCCTCCGACCGTAAAGGCAGACACGCAACCCAAGACCTCGAAGTACAATGCACAGAAAGTGTGGAATGACGGGCTCACATAAGTCTGCTCTCCGATCAGAGTTTTTCTTTCGTCACACAAAGGTGAAAGTTTCAGCGGCCCTTTGCTGCAGGCAGTGCCCTGTTCGATCTAACCTTCGGCATCGAAGTGGACAAGAATGCTGTGGCCTTGGCCAAAGAGCGCCCAGGCACTTAACACCTTCATCTGCCGGTTAGATGACCCTCAAACTCGAGTTGTCACACCAAGTTTCTGCAGAGCCGTGCCCGAAGCCCTGGTGCTGAAGGCCCTACGAACCCTGAACTCCGAGGGTTAGGGCTCGAATTGAGTCGAGGGTGCAAGGTTTGAGGCGCTTTGTTCAGGGACCTAGGGTGGACTAGTCACCATCGGTGATCGTCATCGTCACCACGACGACTACTACCACAACGACGACAACTGCTGCTACTCTGACAATACTGCTGCTGCTGCTGCTGCTACTACTACTACTACTACCACTACTAATGCTGCTACTACTACTACGACTA